ATTTTAGTAATTAAGTTTAAAGTTAGGTGTATAGGAACGTTAGAATAGAGATTAACTATATGAAATGAAAGTAGATATTTACCTTTAGAATTTATATCTTGTATTTCATTGATAAATTGTTTGGTATTATGAACTGTATATTTCGGTCGAAAATTTAAAGTTTTGAGAAAATGAAACATGAAATTGGCTAATTTTGCCTGATGGGCATATTTTGTTTATAGAGTGTTTATGTAGGAAGGGCGTAAAGTTTCTGAATTTTGGGATTCATGTATATAAATAGAGTACTGAAAACAGGGGAGGAGACTATTTTACTATTAGTATCAATGTGTGAAGAGTATTCAATCAAAGTATTTCTGCACATGTTTATAATTTCACGGGTCTTTCTAATAACTGAATCTAGGGGATCTTTTCAAGCTCTATATAATGGTTTTCTGACATAAATTGTTTAGTTTTGTCAACATATGTTTCTTTATTTAATATAACAATGGCGGCACCTTTGTTAGCTTTAGTGAATATGGCGTTATTTTCTTTTAATTTATTTTTAATGTTGTTCCAGAGTTTTCCATTATTGAGCCTGAGATAAATCAATCTTTTTTATACTTTTTTCTGCGTTTTCTATGTATGGTATTAAGTCGTTCTTTATTTTATTATATTCCGGCTGTTTTTTAATTATGTTATCTAATTTTATAGTTAAGATAGGTAAATTAATTTTTGGGGTCAAAGAAAATTTGTAACCTCTATTTAAAAAATTTGTTTCTTCTTCCGTGAAGTTAAAGTGTGTTAAATTCTGGAATTGGATATTGTTCTTTGGTTGGTCTGTTTGACTGGTTTTTCACATAGCCTTTTTGTTTTGATTCTTCTTCAAAATTTGTAGCTTTTGATTCTTTCGTCTTTTATCTTGTCATTTTATGTGTAGTGTTTGTGGTTTTATGTGTTATTTAAAACCTCCTCAATTTCTGAGATATGCATTCGTTCTCTTAAACAACTGTTGATTTTAGCAAGCTTATCGTAGCAGAAATTAAGTGTTTTAAAATGTTTGTGTTTTTCCTCGCGTAAAATCTTTTTATGGATAAAGTCCAAAAATTATATTTTCATATTTTTACAGTTCATCTTAGCGAAATTAGGAATAACATTCTCTTTGATGCAATAATTAATGAAATTCTCCCTCTTCAATTTCCACAATAATCCCATTCGATTCAAATCATCCCTTTTCGAATAAAATGGCAAGCTGCAGATATTTAATCGACTTAATAGACCTTTTAGTTATCCTCTTTCCCCAGAAAATCAAAATAAAGAAAAGAATTTCATTTTTGAATTGGCTAGATGAATCATCAGTTTGAATGTTTTTATTCTGCGCCCTCTAACGTCCACGCGGATGAACAAATTATAACTTTGAGAACGTTTGTTGTTTTTCGGAATATTTTATGTAAAAATAGTACTGGTAATTAAAGGTTTTTATGCCAACCATTTAACACATCGTAATGCGTAGTACTTCACGGATGGAGAAGTATGTGTTGTTGAGGTCGATCCAATATTTCATCCGTTCTTCCTGTTGGTTCTCTTTGGAAAGGGACAGTCGTTTCGTTAAGATCTCACATGGCATCTTCAATGCGTTGTCGTAGTCTCCTGTACGTTTATTGCCAAATTTTGTGCATATTTTTAATTTTTCAACAAGTTCAGACTGTGGAAGAGGTTTCTATAAAACCGAATTTACAATTCATATGTGAAAGAAGGTTGCTTAACTACCAGATTGTAGTTCTGACGATGCGAATAAAATAAACGTTGACAGGTTCAACCTCATTAATACTAAATGAAATTTTACCAATGTTTACAATGTCCACTTCCTAAGCTAATTATTGGGTTGGGTAAATTTTGAACAAGAAATGAGCTGCAATTAATCTGCAATATCTCTACTCAACTTAAATTCTAAAATAATTTGAACAAATTAATTAAGTCTTTAATACGAAATAATTGTAATAGTGTGCCAAAAAGTATGTCTAGCTTATTAAGGAAGAAAGACAAATTAGACGCGATTGGCATAAACCGCGAATTAAAAAAAAAGAAGCTGAATCACCTGTTATTGTCTTTCTGGGCACACGAAAGTTGTCTTTCTCTACATCATACCATCGTTTAAATATTGATATTTAATTGAGTCATGAGTTGCTAAGTTCAGAATTACTTTCAATTTCTCACATTGTGTTAAGTAATCAGAGAAAGCTTCTAAAGTCTAATTCAAGATGAACAATTTTGTATGTACACCTAATTCCAATAGTATTAGCGTTGTTATATATTCCATCCAATAGGTTAGTAAAGTTAATATGCTTTATTAAACCGCAATAGAAGCCGCCAGATAAATTTATACACATAGTGATTTTAGAAAGCATAGCTTTCCAATCATTAAGAGATATTCTGGCAGAGTACACGACTGGAATAACCTCCATCCACAAAGTTTACAAAACCATTCACAGGAGGAAGGGGGATTTTCTATAGCTCCCATTATAGCAAGCATGAGCTCGAGACTGTCTTAAAAAACATAATTGTTTTCGAACCATTGAGTCCCAGAATGTGCAGTCTAAGGGTTTAGGGTAAGTTCTTCATTTTCAATCATCTACTAATAGACACCCGTTATAAATCAAATCTCATGAACGTAAAGAACTGTAGAGGAGCAAACATTGGCTCGGATAATTTTCTATTATGATTGAGGTTAAGAGCTCGGATGCGAAAAAACTCAGAGGAGAAGAAAATTAAATACCGAACTGCTGCGGGGTGGATATAAGCTAAAATACTTTCAGGAAGAGCTAGCGCAAGCCTATCAACCAATGAGGACATGACAACACGGGAAAGATGACAAAAATGTAGAACAGGCTCCTTAACAAGTAGATTCACAGAACGATATAGCGAGAGGATGAAAGCAGACAGATGGAGAGGCTGTAAAACTTTGGGCAGCGATGTTCTAGGGAGAACTCAATGAACAATGAAAGATGTTTAACCTCAGAACCACGTTATGCAAAGATAAGGATGGGTATCTTGTATCGGACCCATCGTAATATTAAACAGATGGACCAAGTATCTTGATGATCTATTTAACGCTTATGGTAGACGCTGACATGACCGTGGAGAAGCAGTTAATGATTCAACACTGTTGCAATGAAAATGATGCGTCGACATTGTAACCGACCATAATTACGTCATGCTATGTGTGATATATCCAGCCTTTAGAAAAAGTGTTGAAAACATTCCGTAGGGTATCTTTAAAGATGTTGAAGCTATCCAATTAGCGTGAGACATAGAACATTTAATACTTGTTTGTTGTGCGTAAAGAAGTTAGAAAAGTACACGGTTTAAATAATTCATTTCAAAAATAAAATTGCCGCTTCAACGATAGTTTAAAATGTAACTTTCCAGTATTGCATCTAGTTATTGCCATTTAATGTAAATTAGTTTTGGAACAGTATATAGACGTTTAAATGCATAGTTCTAGTACAAGTTGACTAATATGTGTAGAATGTTATAATAGTAAACGTACAGAGAAACAGTACAAAATATCGATCATTTCAGTATGACATAAAACCGTGTTGTAATCCCCAAAGGTCTCGTTACTATAAAATTATCGATCTGGCGATAAGTTTACCATAATTTCGCCATTTCAGTATATCATCATGAAAAATAAGAAAACATCACGACGACGCTGTAGGTCGTATAACGGGCAGTGGCGGACTTTGCATTAAGATTTATATACGTCTTCAAGGCACACCTTCCCTTGCACGTTTCATGGCGCTACAATATTAATACGGAGTAAATGGGAAATAAACTTCACCAGGTACTCCGAAAAGTTCACTCACAAAGTCGAGTTTTATAATATTTTTAAGGTTCGCTTTAAGGTAAGTACAATATTATGCCACCCTTAAATCATCATCGTATAAAAGTTTTCGCGTAACTTTTAAAAGATCTGATTAGAAATCGGGCAACAATCCACCCATCGACTAAATCAACAACTTTATTGCACTTATTATCATCTGTCGGGAAGTTTCCATCTGGTCGAGGCGCGTATGGCTCTTGAATACACATGCTCCACGAGACAGAAAGGGATGCTGTGATTGTAGGAGCCATGGAAGTGAGCTTTCCGACAATTACCGGAATGCGGCCCCAAACAGTTACCGTAAACTTAATATACCTCCCAGTTGGACTAATTTTAATTCAACAAAGGAAGTATAATTAAATTTCAGTATACGGCTGTGCGGCTCTATCAGATATGAGGAGGCAATTTTCATCGTGCAACGTTGGCAAGGGAAAGACGCCGCGTGCTGTTTACGATTACGATAAAGGCAAGCCACGGTTCTTACTGCAACTGTTTTATATCGATATGTTTTAATATTATCTGCAAAAATTCGTGGAAGCATTTTACATTTATGTCCTGCTGTTTTCAGGGAGGGTTCTCGAATGCGACACGTACACTTTTTTTGCAAACACACGCTCCCCTCTCAAATTCACTGCGAACTATAACCTTTGGCGGTACATTACGCTCCGTGACAAATGGCTGTTTGAGTAATGGTCTCTGGAAACACGTTCAAAAATATCAAACCATTTTATCAACAAGTTATTTTCTTTCGTACTCCCGAAGAGAACGTTTCACTTCGGCAATAAACCGAGCTGATGAAAGTGCAATTAGAAACGAGGGTAAACTCCAAAACTAACTCTTCCCTATCTGAATTAGTCGTTCTTTTTTGACTTGCCCGAGAGGATTTATAAGTTGGAGAGCCAAGTTAGACGCGAACGCTGACGGGACGTTCTAAAACGTTCGAGATTTTACTTATTAATCAGTCTTCTCAGAAGACGTACCCGAAAGACGACCGGAAGCCCTCTGATTTATACATTGAATCTAGAAATTGCAGTTCTCCATTTCTTGGAATTGTTTCCGTTTCAAATGGAAAACCGCCCTTCAACGGATCAGCGAATTTTGATAGCAACGAATTTATTAATGCGTAAAGAAATGAGCTCACCTATGACAGTCACTTTTACTCGGTGATTTTTGGTTGGTGAGCGTTGATAATCGATCCGACACCTATACTCGCCTTCATCCTTTTCAATAATGTTGTTAATGACTAACGTTGAAGGTTCTGTCATCACTCTAAAGAATGCTCTTGTATCTATATTATCCTCCCTCCAATGTTTGGCTGTGACATTATCGACGCGTGTATCATAACTGCAAAAAAAAAATACATTAGTGATTTGATTAACTACTAAGGTTTTATTATAACTAGCTAACTTATAAGTGGATTTTTATAAGACACAGATGTCCCCAATGGATTGATTGAGATTGTAGCCGCTTGATAAAGGGAATTGTATATGAGTCAACGATTGAGAGCGGCGATATCGCGTCTATAAAGGCAGCAAATGCATCCTCCTTTCGACACGTAAAAGCTCTATGCAGAGTGGATCGTGTTATGTAACGCTAGAGTAATACCATTAGAAAGGAATGAGTGGGAGAAGACGAGACTCCGCAACCAAACAAGTGCTTTCGCTATCCAACCAGACGGTTTGATACCCTCTATCTGAATGTCGAACGCCATCCCTCCAGATATCATGAATATAAAGTATGTCGAGGTAGCAAGTTCACTGAGCATAGCTGAAATTATCTGCCATTAATCTTAATTTTAAGTATGCTATATTCGTCATTTTGAATTCGCGAATGACGAAATTAAAGTGGTAGAACGTGACCGGAAAGGGGTAAGATGTAAAAGTCTTTTATAACTCTAATGACCGCCGCAACTCGACCTATATCCCTCTGTGGCACTGCGATTGCTGCCTCCTATTATTCTCATGAATTCCTCTAGGCGTATGTAGTAGGTAACCTAGATCTACTTGATAAACTAATTGCTTTTACAAGCGAACAAGATTAATTACCGTATGATATTAAAGTCGCTTAGAATGAAAAATCATCAAAACAACACGAATATCAAGTGTCATAATGTTCGCCATTTATTTTAAGCCCGCCAATATGGTTCAACAGCGAAGTTTCTCGTGCTTACTTTGCAAAAGGTCCAGATCCATAATGTTGATTTAGGAGCTTAAAACGCAGCGAGACACCGTGAACCGAATACGGTGTTTATTGAGCTCGGCACAGAGGGCGTGTCATCGTCTGGAACTAGAGATGTCATAACATTCGTCATGTCACCACCAGAGTCCACCAGCTCACTGCAGAACGTAATCGTCTCCGAAATTAACTTCTTTAAAATGTCCCGTGGAATTATGCAAATTGTAAATTAGCATAATGGCCGATGCAAGCCGAGACGGCTGCATGTTTCTAGACCGGAACCATATCCCATTTTTTGTCCGTACCGAATAAATTGTTTTTTAATATCATTAAATACTCGTAATATTTCTCGTGAAGTATAAATTGATTAGAATTATCGAATTGATTTATTGTAATTTATTGCATGGAATCGCGTGCATCATCGCACAGAAGATAATTACTGTCGAACGATGCCGATAGTTATAGGTCAAAGGCTCGGGTATTAAGACATGAAGTATACGAGATTAGTGACGGCGTTCGTGACTTCAACCCAAACTACAGCTTTGAATAATTGCAAATTAAGAACAGTCGTGAGAAGTACATGAAATCACGTTGTTTCCAACTTTAACAATTCGTTAAATTAACTCTATTTAAAAAATTATGTCATCAGTCAAACATAATTAATCATTTTTATAACCGCAGGTGTTGAGATTTTCTGCTCTAGATCTACACTCACTTTCACATGAAATACACCATCCATTAAGAATTAGACTACAAGTTTGAAACTTTGGTAAAATAATGCTTTATTATCAACTAGGACACGATGAAAGTTTAGTTGAAAACAACAAAACAAAAAGTAACATTTTTCAAGAAACAGCTAGTAGTGGGTTGCATCCCCACGCGCAGCTATGCATGCATTAACTCTTCCACCTCTGTTAATTAAGTGGTCGATGTCATCCTGAAATATCTCGTTCCATGCAACCTCTAGATGGTGTCGAAGTTCATCTAGATTCTCAGGAGGCGTGGGTACTTGTCTTAGTCACCGACCCATCATATTCTAGACATTTTCAATCGGCGACAAGTCCAGTCACCGTGCAGGCCAGGGCAAAATCTGCAATCCAACCTGCTACAGGAACCTTCTTGTAACCACAGCAGTATGGGGTCTTGCATTATCCTGTTGGAAAGTGGAATTCTGCAACGTCTGCATGAAAGGTACTAACACCGGTTCCAGAACGTTGTTGATGTAAGGACGTGCGTTTAAATGCCTGGAATGAACGTAAGGGGTGACCTTCGTCCAGCACATATCGCCCCCCTAAACCATGACCCCAGGTGTTAAGGCTGTGTGTCGCCTTTGAACGAACTTCAAATTCCGTATTTTCCCTTAATGTCGCCCTTCTACGACCATCATTCACCCATAAACAAAATCCTGATTCATCACTGAACACGATGTCATTCCATTGATGAACCCACCCTTGCCGTTCTTGACACCATGCAAGTCTGACTGCTTTATGGGGAGGTGTTAATGGAAGTCGAAGGTAAGGACGGTATGAATGACAAGTGTCGGTTCAAAGCTCTCATCCAATGCACAGCAATCGACCTTGTTGTTAGAAATCGATCCCTGGTAGCCATCCCCCTAAGGAGTCGGTCTTCACGTACGTTGCTTCTTCGAGCGGGTTTTCCAGCAGGACGGCGCCTCTGAGTACCTTCTTCGGACCATAAAGACCATATCCGAGCAACTGTAGTGTGGTCCCTATTCAGCCTTCTCCCAATCTCTCGGAATGAGACACTCTCCTCTTTCACACCTATAATTTAGCCCCTATCAAAGTCATTGATAGCAAATGATGCCATTTGTTAGGAAGAAAATATTGAAAGTTGGAGATAACAATGGTACAGGAAACATAACAGATGAGTTTTTTCGGCGGAAACTTTCATCGTTTCTTAGTTGATAATAAAGCATTATTTTACCGAAGTTTCAAAACTGTAGTTTGAATTTTAGTGGGTGGTGGATTTCATATGAAAGTGAGCATATATTTAACTGTGCCCGTTTAAAACAAAACTTATTTAACTCTGTTGCCGATGTAGCTCTATTGTTTGTGTGCCTCCGTTTAGGTTTGTCAATTACTTTACACCTGTCTATAATTTTCCATCCTCACCATATTTGTAAAACGGGGTTCGTATTTAATTTTCTTCTGTATTCGGCTTTTCTGTCGTTTTATCATAACCCTGTTTTGACAGCCATGAATCGAGATGGTATATACAAAGGAAGATAGATATGTGAAATCGTCACCAAATAATAAGAAAACTCCAAGTTTTTATAGGTTTCAAGGTCAAATGTGCACCATGACTTTATTTTTAACAATATACGGTGTATCCAACCGTATGTTATTCTGTACACAATCACTTTTGTGTTTCTAGTAATTTGCTCATGTCCTAGAAATGATCTGCTGAGGGATTGGTATACTTTACCTGTACTCCCTATTCTACTTTTGAGTTCTTTACCTAGGTTGCCTATTGTTTAACACGAACTGTAGCGGTCAGCCTGCGATATAACAATTCATTTCGCCTGCAGACTTACCTCATTTTCTTCATTAGAGATGACCGTTACGTTAATTTTTCCTGTGCTGATTTCTAATCCGAATTTTATTGTTCAGTTATTGATATTCCAATATTCCAAGCTATTTTGTAGGTATCTCAGTTTCTTTTCTGTTGTCCTTCTCAGCACGCCCCCATGTCTCACTTCTTCTTGAGTTTCGCATTACTCAAAAATTTGGTAGCCCGTTCTTATCCTATTTCTCTTGACTACTTCTATCATATTGCTACCAGTTCCTTTTTATTTTTGATTGAAGCTTTTTCAGTTATACGGCGTAATTATAATGTGGCTCTGAAGGCTACGACCCTTTCTAAAACCACTTTACGCACCACTTAGATTTGGCTCCCTGTAGTTATTTATTATTATTAGATTTGTAAATTGGTAATTTTATTGCTTCAGCCCAATTTCTCGATACTTTATTTTTATCCACGCCAATCTAATGATTCCAAGTAATTCCGCTAAATGACTTTTACATAAGAATTTCAACATTTTTGGTGGAATTTCATCCCATCCTACAACAATCGTCAACTTCAAAGGTTTGAACTCACTTCTTAGCACATCCTCTGAAATATCTTGCTGCTCACTTTTTCCATACATTTGGACAGCATGTGTTTCAAAAGTTCTTTATGATCGTGAAAAATCCCCAAACCGATGTTATTTCTATTTCTTCCAGATTCTCACTATTAATTTGTTTGAATATGTTCCTAATAGATTTTTGAATAGTTTGGTTGGGTTGGGAGTTCTTGTATAGATGCTGGATAATGCCTACATAGCGGTAACTATACGCTGCAGAGTATATGGACAAATTTGCAAGCCGCGAAGAATAAAACAGATTTGTGTTTCTTAACTAACAAGGGAAGTATCAGAACTGTCCCTCACCGATTTTGTTGAAATTTGGTACAGCGATAGTATGGCCAAAAATAAGGTTTACGTATTTTTTTATACGTGCTAATAAAGCCCCTGGGGCGAGTTATAAGGGTTGGAAATCGGGGAAGAATATATATATTCGCTTATAGGCTGAAAACGAAAATAGCTATCGAAATGTGGTAAATGTAAACTGATATTCATTTTCAAAGAGCTTTCCATTGATATATCACACATATATCTGAGGGCTTCAGGGGGTAAACTACCCCTAGTTTTTTGGAATATTTTAAAAACTACCCTGTCGATTTTGGCGATATTATGTGTCCTTATAGTACGTTTAAAAATATTAATGACGTGTTTTTTCTTATTTGCCTCTGACCATCCCCTGCAAAGTTACGGGGTATGATAGATAACCCCTTTCCTTAAGAATAATGTGATAATCAGTTACACTTTTGAACAATATTTTGAAGAAAACCATTAATTAGATGTAAATTAAGATTTACGCAGTAAAATAAACCCTATACGACATTAAGGGGTGGCGGGGGTTAACTACCCTAACCACCCCAAATAAATTTTTTTTTGCGAAAATTGTTTGTCGATTTTGGAGCAATTTACCACGCTGATTTTTTTATACGTTAGTACTATTGTAAGAACTTACAAGGGTTAGAAGTTTGGGGTAGAAAATATATTTTCGCTAATAACTTTCATACTCCTACAGAAAAAGCTTTTTTATCCT